ATAATAGGGATGCAGTGCTGTGTGCAGTGCTATTTGGCATCCTGGATGCGAATCAGACATTCATGACATTGACATTCTTGACATTTCGTCATCAGCGCTAATATACAGTGTTGTTCACTGTGGACGCTGGGGCGAGTCAGGAGGACTGGATTTGGCGCGGTGCCAGTCAGCTTTCCATCAGATGCATCGCTCGCCCGTGTAAAAAACGGGCCGGTGCTAAAAGCAGCCTCCTGACCAGCTTTCGGCATCGGCTGCTATCAAAACCATGAGCACTTTATTCATCTGCGCTCATGCTGAGCCGAAGAAAAGAGACCATTTTTCATACCATACTCAGCCTTAGCAGTGCCCTAAATGGCAGCGGGGAAAATGAGTGACAGATTCATGACCATAACATCAAACAACCTCATTCTGAGGCTATTTTATCGGTTCTGATGAAAAAGGTGATGGCGCCAAATGGAGCCAGCGACAAGAACCAGTGTCGTTCTATTATGAAGTCCTGAACGGCATCCGGGTATCCTAGCACTTTTGAGCCGAAATAAAGCACGCTTCTGCAGCTGCTGATCCATTCACCTCGCAACCGGGAAGGACTAGGACCCACCGGGGCGGTTGTACACATTGTATCTAAACGATTACTCTTTTTTGGAGTGTGACCCGGTGCTATTTCAATGGAAGAGAACGAAACAGGGCTCCTGTTGTGATTTCATCGTTTCGTACTGCAGTAGGATAAAATCGAATCGTGGAGGATTTATGCATGTCATTATGCTGCACGCTTACAACCTTTATTTATATTTTCGTACAAGTGTCTTGCAGAAACGACGACTGGTGGAGAGGACGCTGTAATGGCCGTGAGGGAATTTTCCCTGCTAATTACGTACAAAAATGTGAAAGTGAGTTCTCTAATATACACTCCTTATTCCTGAGCCGGGGCAGGCGTGGCATTTGAACAGGGCACGCCCATCAGCGCGGCACATTACGATTGTCTTATCGCATATCCCTTTCACATGACCTGAATAAGTTCTGTTTTCAGCACCGACAGCAGCGTCGATTCCGATATTGTGTCGAGCTCGAGCAGTGGCCGACTTTGAGGCGACGGCGGCAAACCAGCTGAGCTTGCGAACGGGCGATATAGTATCCGTTCGTGAAAAGAGCGCCACTGGCTGGTGGGAAGGCGAACTACAACGTGATGGACACACCTGTGCTGGGTGGTTCCCTGGTGACTACGTCAATCCAGTATCCGCAGGTGAGTACAGATTAAATAACTCACTCAAATCAATTGCATTCAAATCATACCTTTTTGACTGCCCTCTTTTGAACATGGTTATATAATAGGTGTGAACTGAGCGCGCGGCTCGCGAGACGACAACATTCTATTGCCGGCCGTTATACGCGCGGCGGCTGGCTCCGTTTTTTCATTTGCTATGAATAAGTCATGTCCAGTGATGCAACTAACACCAATCCACTCCGACTCGTTGTTAGTGATCACTTTTTGAAATCTAACCCATATAGATGAATGCTGGATGAACTCGTCCGCTGAGGCTGTGTTGAAACCCAAAAAATTAAATTTAAAAGCAATAATCCTTTCCGGTGTGTTTTAAGCATATTGACGTCGGATTTATGTCGTGAATTCGAGCTATCTAATTGGACTGGACATTCCTTGCTATTTGTACTGATCGATATTAGTAGATTACTTGGCTGTCAAATATCAATCAGTTCAGTGCATAATCATGTCGTCCTTGTTTTATCTTCATTTCCCGGCATTTATCTCCAAAAAAAATAACGAAACTGGTGAATTAGTGTATCGTTACCTTTTGATAGGCAAAATTTATGGCTTGTTACCGAAAAGGGGAACCCATCACAGTAATAAGGGGGAGGCGGGGGGGGGGAGCAAGTCACAAGTAAAATAGAAATATGCTCTTGCCCTTCGGAGCGAAAAACAATGAAGGAGCGGGCTGCAGTAGATGGATAATTATGTTTCCAAATGTTATCGCGCAGTCATAAACATAGACTTGATGAGCAGCATCAACAGTTCATCGCATAGACCATTCACGACGGCGTGTGGCTAAATAGTCAACGTAGTCCGTGTGGCGTACGCCCGCGCACGGTTAGCGGCACAGACCATGGTGGGCGGAGAATAAATACATAGAGCTGCAAATGGGCCTCTGCTTCAATGCCCGTGGCATTTTGAAGGTTAGCAAAATTTATATTACTATTCCACTCTCACATCTTCATCTGAAAAGACCCACTATGTGAGGTATACAGAACACTAGTGTGGCTTTAAGACCTGAGAGAAACGAATTACCGTGTCGATTTTTTGACATGAAGCCGTGAAATAAGTAATGGAGGACGTAGACTGCCGCGACCCTAATTTTGATTTGACGGCAACTCGGTGTGCCAAGTTAGGCTGCGTTTATACTTTGCGGCAGCGTAGCGCTTCCAGCGTACGCCAGCGGCAGTGCCGGGGAGAGGATGCATATCGATCTAGCGTTCCCAGCGTCACCAGCGCGTCACCAGCGTTTCTCCAGCGTTTCACCAGCGTTTTGCTAGCGTTTGCAGCGGCAGGGGAGTAGAGACTATGGGAGAGCTGGAGGGTACAAAACACATCGATTGCCGCGTCTCTCACTCGCCCTCAGTCTCTACAATACACATCGATCCGCGTCTCTGACGGCCACATAGTCTCTAACATACACATCGATTCTGCGTCTCTGACGGCCACATAGTCTCTACAATGCACAACGATTGCGCGTCTCTTACGGCCACATAGTCTTCCTACTCCCATGCCGCGCAAACGCTAGCAAAACGCTGGTGAAACGCTGGAGAAACGCTGGCGTAACGCTAGCGTACGCTGGTGACGCTGGGAACGCTAGATCGATATGCATCCTCTCCCCGGCACTGCCGCTGGCGTACGCTGGAAGCGCTACGCTGCCGCAAAGTATAAACGCAGCCTAACGTAGGGAAATTATTTGGATTTGCAACATCGATCTCGCAACTTCTACAGCATGATTAACACCCCCGATCCATTTCGAAAATTTTCGAGTAAGTGCAAGCATTCCGTTTTGGCTAGAAGTGGCTTTTCAGAATGGGAAAGCCGCTGAGACAGGCAATCAGAACACAGCCACCGCTCTATTTGACTACGTAGCTGGTCAGTCGGACGAGTTGTCGTTTCGTGCTGGTGATGTGATTGTGGTGAGTCCTTCGGCTGAAGATATGCAAGCGTCGTGACTGGACGCTAGCCATCCGAAGCTAGAAGTACTGTAATTTTACAGATTGTGGAAAAGAAAGACGCCGATTGGTGGGCGGGGCATAAAGTTGACACGCCCAATGTTCGTGGTCTCTTCCCAGCGAATTATGTCCAGTTGAGGTGAATCATGAAGCTCACCTGTTCCTATTTAAGATTTTCTTTTTTGCATTTCTAATTATGCTTGGTCGGTTTCACCAAGTATGGCCCTGGTGGGCGGCGCTTCGGTATGATCAACCTAGTGGCACATTTTTCCTCCTATATTTCGGATTTATAGTGCCATTGGGTGAAGTTGACTAAGGAGGACTATTGTATCAATATTATCTCTTCACTTTATCGCGTTCACCCGTGCATTGCCGTCATACGTGGGTTTGTCCGGTAGCGGAAAAGCAGTATTGCAATAACAGTGTGTTGTCCAGTTGTTTGTTGGTACCCTATACGGTGCTATACAGTATGCGTAGTGGCATTTTTCCATTTGGCACTCTTCCAATTCGTTAGGTCCTGTTCGCTGTGGTTGCTGAGGTCTTTCAGGGGCTGAGTTAGACCCGGCGCCAGCCTATCCGCCAATTCCGCAAGCTGGCAGGTGACCGTAGCCTGGCGCTGCACCCAGCCAACCCTACCTGAAACGCCTCAATGTCCGCAGCGAACAAGATTGTAGCTGTCCTCGGCGGCGTTACTGCAAGTAGACCTCTGTGCTGTCTATCCTTCATATTTCCTATTTCGGCCGGTTTCTCCTTCAGTGAAATCCTTAAGAGGCATGGTTCAACATGGCCTGCTATAAATGCTAGCGCTCGCGCTATGTAGCAAGTATCGCTACTGAGAGAGGTGAGTGATGCACCCACCCACCCACCTCCGTTCTGTTGCACTTCACAAGCTATCGCTCCCTTTCACCCTCTTGTTTCACCCACTATTTATTTATTCATTGCTACAGCTGCCATAAAAGGTGCTTAGATTTGAAGTCACTCGAGCGTTTATGTTTATTTGTTCATTGTTTGTGTCGCACGTCGTTCTAACTATAAATCCAGTGGCTTCAAATCTGGTTACCAAAATCGTATTCCTGGTTATTTGGCAGCAGTTAAGGCAGGGCTGGGCATGTTAGGTCACGTTTGACATAGATTTTATTGCATGGTTGGCGCCGACGTAGCACTAGTCCGTTACCTGTTGAGAGCCGGATTATGACGTTATAACAATCAGAAATGTCGTTATCGCGTTATGTGACGTCATTGACACGTCATATGTGCCGTCATTGACACGTCATCTGTCTCTTAACAGGGTGAAGTACTGGACCGCGTACCTGCTGAAGCGCTGTATAGGTTCCTGATATGGCTGCAAGATCCATCTGGTTAATGCTATAACGGAAGTTTCAGTCTTGCAAAAAAGCGCTCCTTGTCGGCAGAATTCACCTTTTTTAACCGCGGATTAAGCACTTCAAACGGGCGGAGCCGAGGAATGGTGTTATTGGTGCGGCTTTCCTTCCGGAGAGATAAGCCAGTGGCGCCGTTTCTTAGCTCTACCTCACTTGGTGACTTCGAATGGTACCTTTGAGGCACCGCTAGGTGGGGACAGGGAATGACGTTTTTGGTGCGCGCCACCACTTTCGAAGAAAGAGCCCATGACGACGTTTTCCTCTGCTCCACCCATTTCACGGCCATGAATGGTGTATTTCAGGCACATTGAGCGGGGTCAGGGAATGGCGTCAGTGGTGCACCGCTACCCGTGGAGAGATGACCAAATGACGTCGTTTCTCGGCTCCGCCCACTTGATGGCTGTGAAGGGCATCTTTGAGGCACACCATGGGGGTGTCATTGAATGGCGTCACTGATACGTCACTTCCCTTGAAGAAGTGGCGCTGACATCGTTTCTTGGCTTTACCCTTTTCACGGATTGATACACCCCATCTTGGTGCCGTCTGCATGCGTCCAAGAGTTTCCGTCATAGTCGCCCCAACCTTGCCCTATTCTCCTGCCGAATAGCCATGAATACGGCCCCTGTTCGTACACCACACACACTTTTTTTCGAATTTTTGATACTTTTGTGGATAAAGATGTGTAACGACGGTTTGTATTTTTCTCGAGAAGGCCATGTGACTTGAACTGTGTTACGATGCCGATGTTACTTACGTATTACTAGTCATAGAATAGTGCTAGCGTTGTGCTAATGCTCGATCAATACCTACATATATAGTGTTGACACATAATTAGGTGCATAATTGTTGAGTTTAAAAGGATAATAATTTATTCACGCCAAATAATTTATGTAATTACATAATGTCCTCATGTCACTTTGCATAGGTTTCAAGTTCTAATATAAATAGTTTACTAGTTTTGTGTTTGTGTTTGAGCAGTTTTAGATGATGAGATTCCAATAAAGGTCTTCTGTATTGATTCTTTTTATTGATTCGTTAATTGTAGTAATGTTAGTAGACAGTGTGTTGTGGTGTGATACGTATGCTTGGTCCCTGGTGTTGGTTACCTGCATGTTTCCCCTTTTCACTTTATCCTATGGGTCCTGTAAGGAATACTACCGTAGTCGCTGTGGACTTGATGTGAGTTTGGGGTTTATGGCGATCACTCTGCATGTTGCATAGGTAGGGAAGTGAGCGCTGTTCGGCTCGGAGGGGGCATTTTGCACAGTTCCTTCTGTTAGTTCCGTTAGCTAACAGGTCCCTATTCGGTAAGATCTGTAAAGTCTTGTGAAGCTGCGAATCACAGGAATTTGCAGGTTTTCACAAGGTAGCGTGTACAAGCTTAGCTGGGAACCATACGGTGCCCCCACGAAGCCGAACTACGTTGAGAAAAAGTTTTTCTTCCCGAAGCAAAGCTTTGTTTGGTGTGATCTTCGGGGCGAGCATGTATACTGTAAAAACAGCTGTAGCATGAATACACGGTAGGAATCTCGCTATATCGCTTCTTTGTGTTCGCGCTTTGATGTGATGAAAGGCGCTTGTTGCTTTGGTGGGTTCTAGCTGTCTTCGGTAAATATTTTAAGTTTGCAAATAA